GAATATAATATACAAGTTTCACTTTTTAAATGGAATTACTGAAATCAATCTACTTTTTCATGATATTCTAATTTTATGACCAGCACCTGTAATTGAAGGGGTCAAATAACCAAATACTGCATAGTGTTTACAATGTCACTTTTTATTATTATATTAAAAAAACAACCCATATTTTAGCGGTGCTTTGATTAGAATTTGGGCTGCTTCAGCACCCCCAAACATTGGCTAAAAACGCCTATGTCGGAAATGTAAAAAAAAAAAACTTTCAAAGGTTTTGAGAGTAATTTTCCAGTTTTCTCAGATTTTTATTTTAGTTTTTAATCTAAATTTTTTTTCCAGATTTTTTTCACATTTTATTTTTTGATCCTTTTTTCAGATTTTATATATATAATATAATATGTATTTCATACATTTTTTTGTTTTTCAGTTTTACAAATGGCATTATTTGGCATTTAAGAATGTGATCTGGAAAATGCATTTTGAAAAGAATGCAACTGGTGAAACTCAATCAGAAAACAGAAATTTGAAAATATAAAATATGTTAAAAAATATTGAAAATATAAAAAATACTGTAAAATAAAAAGGGAAAAAATAAAAATTTCTATTTACAAAACCTGTTTTTGGTTCTCAAAATAATGAAACAAAATCCTCTCCATAAATAGAAAGTAATTAAATGAGCTTTACTAATTCAGCAGGATTATTGCAGAAGCTTGTTGATGGACATGAAAAGCTTGTGGATGAGTTAAAATCTGCCAAGAGGCATTTAACCAACTATTAGATGGGGAGTGTGGACAAGTCTTTTAGTCTGTATGGTTACGTTAGCACTTTCTGGCATGCTTTTATATCTTTGACTTCAAAGGATTTCAGTTTTTATTTAAAAAAATGTTCTCCTTATTCTGCAGTTTTCTTTTTTTTCATATTTAATTTTTGCTTAGATGTTCATGAAATCTGGAAGCTCATTTGTTCTGATGACATCAGGCCGAGCTGATGCGAATGACTGCCGACTTTCCCGCCCTGAGCTCAGGACCCTGTACCTGTAAAGGTTTTTACCTGCTTCCTGACGTGCTGACGGAACCGTGAGTGGAAACCCAGTAGAAAGTCTTTCCACGCTGCGTTGACGGTAACAGGCAGCTTCTGCAGGGTTTTGTATTTTTAGCACTTCCGCCCTCTGGGTGGAAGTTGTGCAGCTCTGCAGGCTGCAGCCCTGAAGCGGGGAGCTCAAGCTGCAAACAAGTCAAAGGGAGGGTCCCTTTTTAATAAATAATCATGCTAATATCTACTAAGAACAGCTGGCTGGTTGTGGTTTTTCTAGAAACCAAAAGATCAGACAGGGAGGGAAATTTTAGCTGAAGCAGATGTTCTAGTTTCTGTATTTTCTGTGTTTGTCTGATATTTCCAGCTTAACATCTGAAGAAAAGGCTTGATGATTACAGTCATTTACAGTAGATAAACCTACTGGGGTCATTTAATTTGGAAAGATCTTTAGCATTGGTTGACTGTCTTATTAGAGAAAATTTTACTCAGAGGTTTTATGTCGTCAACACAAAGTTGAGCAAGTGTTAAAGTGTGTTTTGTTACAAAAAAAGAGGAAAATTGAGGTGTTTGGCTTTCTTTAGGAAATCACAAAGTTTATTTTTTTTTTGTCAAAAGTACAGAGCAAAGAAATCCACTCTGCATTTAACCCATCCCTATGGGGAGCAGTGGGCTGCCATCATTGGTCGCCCGGGAGCAGTGTGGGGTTAAGGGTCTTTGCTCAGGAACCCAGAGTGGCAGGCTGTGGGAGAGGGGCTCGAACTCAGAACATCAGGATTCCCAGCTCTACAGGTCCTTCTCAAAATATTAGGATATTGTGATAAAGTTCATTATTTTCCATAAAGTAATGATAAAACTTGAACATTCATATACTAACTGAAATATTTCAGGTCTTTCATTGTCTTAATATGGATGATTTTAGCATAAAAAAGAAAAAATTCCTATCTCACAAAATTAGCATATTTCATCCAACTAATAGAAGAAAAGTGTTAATACAAAAAAAGTCAACCTTCAAATAAATATGTTCAGTTATGCACTCAATACTTGGTGGGGAATCCTCTTGCAGAAATGCGGCGTGGCATGGAGGCAATCAGCCTGTGACACTGCTGAGGTGTTATGGAGGCCCAGGATGCTTTGATAGCAGCCTTTAGCTTATCCAGTGTTGGGTCTTGCGTCTCTCAACTTTCTCCTCACAATTGCCACAGATTCTCTATGGGGTTCAGGTCAGGAGAGTTGAGCACAGTGATACCATGGTCAGTAAACCATTTAGCAGTGGTTTTGGCACTGTGAGCAGGTGCCAGGTCGTGCTGAAAAATGAAATCATCTCAATAAAGCTTTTCAGCAGATGGAAGCATGAAGTGCTCCAAAATCTCCTGATGGCTGCATTGAACCTGCCCTTGATAAAACACAGTGGACCAACACCAGCAGCTGACATGGCACCCAAGACCATCACTGACTGTAGGTACTTGACACTGGACTTCTGGCATTTTGGCATTTCCTTCTCTCCAGTCTTCCTCCAGACTCTGGCACCTTGATTTCCAAATGACGTGCAAAACTGAGCAACAGTCCAGTGCTGCTTCTCTGTAGCCCAAATCAGGCGCCTCTGCCACTGTTTCTGGTTCAAAAGTGGCCTGACCTGGGGAATGCGGCACCTGTAGCCCATTTCCTGCACACACCTTTGCATGGTGGCTCTGGATGTTTCTACTCCAGACTCAGTCCACTGCTTCCGCAGGTCCCCCAAGGTCTGGAATCGGCCCTTCTCCACAATCTTCCTCAGGATCCGGTCACCTCTTCTCGTTGTGCAGCGTTTTCTGCCACACTTTTTCCTTCCCACAGGGAACAGCCTATTGGTTCAGAAATATTTTTCTGTGTCAGACCCTCTTGCTTGAGGCTGTCAATGATGTCCTTCTGGACAGCAGGCAGGTCGGCAGTCAGACCCATGATTGGGGTTTTGAGTGATGAACCAGGCTGGGAGTTTTAAAGGCCTCAGGAATCTTTTGCAGGTGTTTAGAGTTAATTTATTGATTCAGATGATTAGGTGCATGGCTCATGTAGAGACATTTTTCATGATATGCTAATTTTGTGAGATAGGAATTTTGGGTTTCATGAGCTGTATGCCAAAATCCTCTATATTAAGACAATAAAAGACCTGAAATATTTCAGTTAGTGTGCAATGAATCTAAAATATGAATGTTCAAGTTTTATCATTACATTATAGAAAATAATGAACTTTATAACAACATGCTAATATTTTGAGAAGGACCTGTATGCCATAACCAGTAGGCCGCCATAATGGAATGAATATTCTTCCTACAAAAGTGAATAAATAAAATGACTGTATCATAAAGAGATCATGGAGGAGCTGACTCTTCCACCCAGAGTAGTTTCAAAAATAACTTCAAAAACAACCAGGCAGAAAAAGATTAAATAAAAGAGAAACTAGAAAAAAAGTGCCAGCTGGTTTATTGAAGCAGGTGACCACAGGTGAGTCCACATTAATCCTGTTCATTGGTGCTACTTTTAGGCCTCCTGAATAAAATTCCGTAGGAGGAAGTCTGTTTTTTATCACCAGACTCTTTGACTACATTCTTCACGTTCTCATACAATTATTTTTAATTTAGTATCTGGCCACAATTTCCTTCTCTTTAAATGTGGCTCTGTTTGTGGTGGAAAAGGGCGGCGTTTCCAGAACGTAACGGCGCCGAGCAGGCGGGCGGGGCTTGGCTGCTACACCCAGCCAATAGGAAGGCTGGGTGTCTCTGCCGCACACAGCTGATCGGTGAGTCAAGGCTGGGAGCAGCTGAAAACGTCTCACTTGTTGCTGAGCAGGGGCAGAGGCGTCAGCTGACCGCGGAGCTCCGAACGCATCCCCATTCAGAGCCTGCAACCGAAGCGGGGGAGTCTGTGCCGCCTGCGACCCGCCGCGCTGCCGCCACACAGGTGAGAAAAATCAGCAGACCTCCATTAATGGCTGCAGGGCGGTTCAGGTTTATCCTCACCTTTAGGTAACATGAAAAGCCTCCAATTAACGAGCGCTAGGGATTTATTTGGGTCATTTTTCAGGTAATAGAAACCTGTATCGATGAAATCTATTCTAAATCCATCAGAGCTGCAGATTTGTGCTGTCATTGAGATGAAAGCTGCAGGTTATGTTGCTTCAGTTTCAATCTCCCAGGTTTCCAGTTCTCCTTAATGAGCAGTTATTTTACTTCCCTGTCATTTAAAGTGCGGCTGGGATCTGATTAGGTTTGGCTCATGGTTCTGCCTGAGAGTTGTTGGTTAGAAACCCTTTAAAGCTGCATAATGATGAACAGATGCAGTCTGAGGTTTAATCCAAAATAAATAAATAAAAAGTGAGGAAAGCTGGTTAGATGAGATGTTTCTGTGCAGGATGTGAACCTCTGGGATGATATTTGGTGCTTTAAATCACATCTCTATCTTTATAATTTTATATTACAATGCATTAAAGGCTACAGAATATATACTACATAAAGGGTAGAACCAGCTCTGAAAATACCCCAAATAATCCTGGTTAATTTGATAAAAGGAAAAGGACTGCATGAATTTCATGATAAGTTTAAACAGTTTTTTTCTAATAAATTTTTTAATCCTTTTTTAAAAGGGGATATATATATATATATATATATATATATATATGAGAATATGTCTCTTTTTAAAAAAGGATTAAAAAATGTATTAGAAAAAAACAGTTTAATCTCATCATCAAATTCATGCAGTTAAGTGATTAAATCCTTTGTATTTTGCGGAAATAAAATAAAAGTGTATTGGGCACCACAGCCGGTTTTAGCCCAGGGACCCATATCCTCCAGAATCCGGCCCTGAAGGCATCGTTTAAAGGAAAATGCTCAATTTGAACATAAAACGGTAATAAGTTGAGTTAAAGCAGAACTTAAACTTGAAAGTTTCTTATAGAGACTAAAGCTTTGAGGTTTTCTGGTGATCCATTGATAATTCAGGGTAAAACAGGAACTTCTTCTGAGTTCAGTAACATTACCGTCACATTTCATATAGAAAATAACTGATAGTTTATCTAATATGTTTGCATTTCAAATAAATAATTTGAAGTGTCATTTAAAGTATAAACTGTCTGTGTTTATGTTTTTGTTATGTGATCGCTGTGAAATGATCTCGATCCCAGAGCAGTGATTGGATGAAAGCCCCATCCCATAACGCACCGTCAGCGTTTTGCCTCTATGCACTGAGTGCATGAATTTACAGCCCTCACTTTTGTTCTGAATCTGGTTAAATGGCATCTTTCACAGCTCACCGCACCTGGGAGAGCAACAACAAAGAGTCTGGCTCCAGTTGAGCTAAATGTGAGGCAGTGAGGCTCTAAAACAAATTTTTTTACTCAGACTTCCCCCAGGACGTTGTCTCTTCTGCAGAGCAAAGTTGCAGTTCCTTCTGCAGCTTCTGTGGTGCCCATATCAGCGCTCCGTCCTGCAGCTTGTCGCTCCTCAGGGTTTCCCCCCCCTGCATCCTTTTTATTATCTGTAGTAACATTGATGGTGTTACCTCACTTCCTCCCATGTTTCTGCCAAATGAGTCGATTGTTGTGGCTGGAAACAAGTTGCATAACTTCTTTTTTTTTTTTTTTCCACGAAAAGGACATTAAAGCAGCGAATGATGCTACTCATCCAGTCTGGCGTTATATATGCATGTTTCCATTAGCTGCTGCGGGCCTCCGGTGATAGCGTGAGGCCAAGTGGCTCCAACCATGAAGGGGAAATAGGTGGAAATATTATCCCTGTGAAACTATCAAAGTCAGCAGTATTTTTTATTTTTTTCTCATGCTTTTGGGGAAAGACACCGAAATGAGAGCACACAGTATTGATCCTTCATGGCTCCTGTAATTCATGCAGCTTCTGGTCTAAGACGGTGGGTTACCTGTTGTCATCATGATCAGTTAACTGGCTTCTCCTCACTACAGTTTCTCTTTGTGGTTCATATCTGTACAGTTTGGCGACCACAACTTTAAAACTTCAGTTTTCTGATCTTTGCATGTGGTTTGCATGGGGGCTAGTTCTCTGCTGGAGCCCCACAGATCTCATGGTAGCTCTCAGCTTCGCTTCTACAGGTGACCCACAGGTCCACTTGGAGCAGAATTTCAGTTTATCTCAGAAAAGGAAAGAATTTTTCGCTGATCTCTGCCTACGAATCTTCGCATGCAGACCACCTTTCACCTACTTACTCCCCATGTTTAGCAAGCTCTGCACTGGTGGCAGCATGCATCTTAACATGAGGCTGTCTTTGAACATCCTGAGTCATTCTTCTCTTCAGCTGAAACTCTCACCTTGAACTTTGCAGCCCCAAAAAGCTAATTCTTTCATTCCAATGTGCTGAGCAGCAGTTTCCAGCATGTGGGGGCATTTTAGTGTAGAGTATCTATAGCTGCATTCCTTTCCTTGCAGGTATCATTGCTAAAACAAGGTGAAAGCTACTGCTTTCAATAGTCATTAGTTTACTGGATAAAGACTTTTTAACAAAAAAGCATCTTATTGTTCTGCACGATAAGCTAAAAAACGATGTCCTTTATCATAGCAGTCTGTATGATGATGTATGCAGTAAACTTGACATTTATAGCTCCCTAAGAAATGACTTCTCAAATTTTAGAAAGTAAAACCAATAAGAAATATCAGGTTTTCCTGCAGCTCCAATGGATTTAATGCCAAATTTACCCTCTGAGGTTTAAAGGCCGGTAGAAGTGAAGCCATTTTTAATTTTCTCATTTGTTTTTTTTATTTATTTATCTTTATTCTGCCACCTGCCTGGTTCTGATTCTCCCATCCTTCCAGCAGAAGGCCTAATATCACAGAGGGCCGTGCTGACTAAGAAGCAGAGGCGCCCACGCAGGTCGCGGTCTCACCAGACGGAGGTGTGAACATATTCGTGATAAGCCACTGATGTTGTTGGAACCGGGCCCTCCCCTAGCTGCTCTCAGGATGACTGGCATATCTGTTGACATGAAAGCTCACAAAACACACCAAACGGGGCAAAACCCCTCCCTGACGCCTACGTTTTCACATTCTGTGGCATTTAGCGTGATTCTGGCAAAGGTCTGCCACTACACAGGAAGTGTTTGTCTGGGACTAAGGAGCTGTAAGCCACTTGGAGCGAGAGCTTCTGAGGTGATGGGTTTCTATGCCCGTGCTTTTCTAGATGCTTCTCAGCCAGGTGTCAGTCAATATGGGTTGTGTTGAAACTGTAAACACTCTCAGGTGAGGGGTTTCACTTTGAATTAGCTGAAAGGTTGAAGTAAGGCTGCGCTTTTCATGGTCCCAGACGTGCAACTAGATGATTCCTCCTTAAAGGCCTGTTAGATGTTCTTCTCAGTTTAACCTCAGCAAAGCATAAAGTAGTTAGACGTGTGAACCAGACAGAAGCAATACATTGCTATGTGTTTTTTTGCACCATAGAAGAAGCCTTATCAGGGCAGAGGAACGTTTCATCTGTTTAAAGTGTCTTTTTCTTTAATAAATGTTGGAGGAGGAGAAGCTTCTCAATACTTTTATCTGAAATCTCTTTCCTGCCAGAACCTAAGGGGAAAAGTTAAGGCTCTCCAGGGGTTTATTTTGGGAGGCTTTTATATTTCTACCATATTTATAAAAAACCTGATTATTAGGTGCGGATTCTTACATGTCTTGCTTTAAGTTGGAAATTCTTTCGAACCAGTTGCTGCGCTAAAAACGTCGAATTTCTGCAGAAATAACCCAACGGCGACTTAAATCCTAGGAAATGTGATTTCTTTCAAACTAACAGATGTTTGCTTTGTCATTAAAACCAAAGATTAAAAAGAAAGATTAGAAGTACTCTAAAGTATTGCACATGCTCTTGTTTTCTCCCTTTTCCTCGTACGTTTGTTTCATTTTTCTGTCCTTCTGAATCCTAGTCCAAATTATTCGGGATGAACAACATTTCCCTTCAACTTCCAACGGTTAAAGAAAAGAACGACTTACTATTTTTTAGCTCAGTAGCTGTTTGAGGTTTAGTCTTGTTTGTCTGTATGACACTGGGGCCTTTACGCCCCCCTGCTATCCAGAGAGGGAGGAAATTACCATGGCAACCATAGCCACTGGTTTTTAAATTACACTACAGAGTAATTTTAATTGATTTAATCCGAGCCTTTTTTTTTTTTTTTGTTCAAAAGTATATTTTTGTGTGTGTTTCTGGTATCTTTACCAACCATCCAGGGACAGAGAGCCTCATGGGGACCAAAGCCGGTCCTAAAGCTAAAGACCCTTTTTATTTATTGTTAGGGACAGATTAGAGAGAAATCCACTTACCAAAATAGGTGGAAGTCACTGAAGACATAATCTGGGAATAAATGTTTTTTTTTGTTTTTTTTTAATACATTACAATTTCTTCTTAAATGGATCTGTACTTTCTTTATTTAAATGAACAGATACCCAGCAACAACTGAGTCTATTTTTGTTTTTTTTTTGCAGCGTCATTCGTACCACTAGCCAACATCATTTAAACCTGTGATGTCATTTCCTTTTGTGGATTTTCAGCAGAAAAATCTATAAATAATAGCAGATCTGTTGGTTATTTTAAATTTTTTTCCTGTACCTTTAACTCGTCTCTGCTTTGTTCTCAGGAAGTCGGGTTTCATGTCTGCGTCAGTCCCGTATCCATGGCCGAGCGGACACTTCTGTCTCGTCTGTGGACTCCTGCTCCTGGTCTCCTCCCTGCCCCTCTCTGCAGGTACTTTCTTCACAGCTGGTGTCGCTCTTTTAGTTCCTCAATACTTTTTTATTTGTCCGTTCAGCTGTGACTTTGTTAAAGCACCAAAATAGCTTGCGATATGCTTTGTATATATTGTCAAAGTGCAACCTTTGACCTTCTGTAATAAGCATGCTGTCCATTCAAAACCTTTATTCCTTAGGTGTCTGTGAAAATGGATCCCCATCATACTTTATAGGGTTTTTCTTGTTTTGTTTTTCTAAATAAAAAAAGCAACAAAAAACAACAAACTTTGTAATACTGACTGATACTGAAAGGCTAAACTCAAGGTTGAGTCTCTCATGTTCTGTTTTTAAACATGTTTTTGTTTCGGAGGTTTGAAATTCAGTTTAGTTTCTCATCATATTGCATTTTTTTCTTTTTTTACTTCCTTCAATTTTGTTTGTATCGACAATAAAATTAGTTCTGGATTTTTTTGGTGCCTTTAATCATGCAGATGGGATAGAAAGTCATTATGCAACAAACCAGTGAATCTCTGCTTCCTTTACATGGCGGAATGTGCATTTAGTTCTTCTTTTTACATGAATGTTAGCTTTTGTTTGCTGCAACATCACTTTAGAGGCAGAAAAAAAAAACAGCCAGGTTACCCATAAAAATAACAGAAATCCTCCCTTACATTACCAATAGAAAATCAATTCTAGGAACAAGTTCTTGGATATAGATGCTTGAATATTATAATAAGGAATGAATTAATAAGGAATTTTAGCAGTTTTTTTTTATTTAGGTATAGTGTATTAGTGTATACATAAGAAAATAATGGTTCAAGTGTTAAAAACCTGCTCATATCTCATGATCTTTGCAGGCAGGGTGAACAACTGTCCGCACCCTCTGGTCCCAGAACATGGAGGCTTCAAATGCATCCGCTCTCCATGCCGCGGTTTTCATCCCGGTATCTCCATCCGGATCTTCTGCGAGAACGGATTCACACCCAATCACACAATGGTCATCAAGTGTCACAAGGGGAAGTGGCGCACACCCATGCCGTCCTGCGACCCCATAAAAGGTACCAATTTAAAGGGGATTAAACAGGCCACATACAGAAAGTAATCATGGCGGAGGGCTGATAATGTCTGGTTTACATCCAGTCAGTTGTTGGTTGGAGTTAAAAAAGCTTAGTGATGAATCGGGTCTTTATATTTAGCTTTTTATTATTAGCTTTTTCTGAAAGTTTTTACTTTTCTTTTACCTCTCAAAATAGCGACCTTCTTGTCAGTGTAGAATGCCACAATGCTCAAAAGGAGAACCAACTTATTTTAGACTAAGTGGAGAATAAAACCACAGCTTTAATAACAACTAAGCATCAAAAACTATAACAGTTTAAAAGCTAAAAAAAAAAAAGAAAAAAAAGAAAAGTGAGATGCATGTTGGTGAATGTGCGGTCTTTCACAATGTATTTTTACCTAACCTGTTGCATTTTGACTTGATGAAAATACAGTAAATACCAAATGTATTTTCCCCACACCTAAAGTCCACAGGGTGATGGTATAACGGTGATTTTATTTTTTAATGCCCATCTGGTCCTTAAATGCTGATTTAAGCAGCAGTCAGTGTTTTAATAATGATGCTTCTCTTTGACCTGCATGAACATAGCTGCTATTTCAGAACTAATCTAATCTCTTTTGATTGAATGGGGCAGAGAACTCGGCCCAGTGGTGCCCCTTTAGCTGCCTTGATGTTTTAAAAGCCTGTTGATTAGAAATATAAAAGCACGTTAGTGAAGACGGAGCCCTCACTAGTAGTGAGAGGTGATTTGGAGAGTAAAAAGTTCCTATTGGTTCCAACAGGAACAAAAAAAGGAACATGAAATGGACTCTTTAAGACTAACTTAAAACAAGAGGGTTTTTTTTTTGCTGATGAAGCCTTTATATAATATAAAACAGGAAACTAGACAAACTCATTCAGTATTTTCTGTGATTATTTCACTTGGTCAGCAGAAGAAGCTCCACAAAGCTCACACTCAGCATTTATTTTAAGGAAAAACTGCATGGTTCTCTGGTGCAGCTCGGCTGTTTGCTGGAGAGTTCTTATCCTGCTCTTCAGTAATGGTAGGCAGATGTTATTGGGCAACTCTAACTAACCATTTCCCAGCAGCACTGACCCAACACAGCATTTCTCAGTTGTTACTAAGGTTTATGATCTACTGACACATGCTTATTTTTCACCCAAAATGGTTAGTCATTCTTTGAGGCTTTTGTTGTGATTTCCAAACCTTAAAATTTAGTGGAAGGACTTTTTTGGGCTGCACACCTTCACAGCTTTTCAGTCTCTAATATGAATACATTCTGCTTTTTTAAAGCTGTTGCAGTTCAGCTTTAAACCCCCAAACCATTTAAACCCTCTACAGTCTGAAAAGTCAGATCTGCTCCTTTCAGTGCCACACAGCAACTTTTATCACGATTATCTTTTGACCCATTTACCAGATCCGCTCAGACACATGCTGACTCTCTGCAGAGGAACTAGAAGCTTCAGCCTCTTCAAACTACTTCTTACTTCCTCTGTTGCCATTCAGTCAGTCGCACTGCAACAGGAAGGCAGCGCGCATAAAGAGGAAGCGGGCAAAGCCACGACAAAATAACCGAGATAGATTTCCTTTGCGTTGATGCTGTCAGACTGATGGAAATCTACTGAATAGAATCTCGATTTCTAAAAATTTGGTCTTGAAGCTGATAAGGTTTTTTTCTGTTTAAGAACCTGAGCATCTGGCTGTTCCCATAGACATATATTTAGGTTTTATTCATGGCTTCCCTCCCCAACATGATCAAATGTTTAAACTAAAGTTGTTGATTCTTAAATCCTCTGTGGCTCCATATTTGGATCACGAATCTCCCTGAAAGTGGTTAGAATCCATTAAATGATATGGTTTGAGAAGAGATGAAGATGAATGACTGTTTACTATGATAATCCTTAGGAATGAGTAGATGATTATAGCTTTTTTTCTTAACAAGGAAAGGGGTCCAAGCACTCAGCCTTGTGGAGCCCCTGTAAGCAGATTATGTAGAAAAACAAAAAGTTGTCTGAGTGTAGTCGTTGTTTTGAAATATTCTTAAACATTTTGGGTCTCTGCTCCTCTCCACAGACAAGGTGAAACCTGAGAGTGACATTAATGACATGCCCAGCATGGCCACCACCGCTGTTGGCGTGTCCATCTTCCTTCTCACCACCACCGCTTGCCTGATCGTCAAATCCCGCCTCCTCCCCTGCCGATCACAAGGGTAAGGAGGATGTTTTTTAACGTTGGATCAGTGCTTTGAGGTTTCACTAAAGTTTTGGAAGCAGGTTGGCCATAAGGATGAACTAATTAGCTAATTGCCTGGAAGTCGGTGCAAACGTCTAGATTTTGTAGGATAATTTTTTTGTGGCATAAGTTCTGATGGGTTGGACTACATGAATGGATCCAAACCTTGCTTTCTGTCCAGTAAAGTGCCTTCAGATTAGGTCAGAAATGTAGACATTAATGCCTCAATTATATACCTAGTGATAATTTTTTTTCTTCAAGAACTTTAATTCATTTATCCACCTTAGAGGGGTGCATTCAGACACAAAGAACTCACTCTCTCTCTGTTTTCGTGCAGCCGTCGTTCCTCAGATCAGTTAGACCTGATGGTGGACGGACTTCCCATCTCTCTTCCCTCCTACGAAGAGGCCGTTTATGGCAGCTGGGGGCAGCGTATTGCTCCCTGCTCCGCTCCTGGACCGACGCAGCTCCTCTTGGCCCAGGAGGACCCCGGTTATTGCCCATTGCCTCGGGGCAACCAGCCAGATGGCAGCAACCAGCCCCTCCTATTCGTCCAGAGCCCAGAGAACCCCCCTCCGCCGTACGAAGAGGTCCAATCATCACACCCCAGAGACAGGGTGAGCAGCGTGAGCATCCGGGACCTCGCAGACGATAAAGACACTTGATTGGCAAGCTGTGGGGTTCAGGAGGATCTCCTGTGGAGACACAATTGTGACCGCTAATAATCTTCAGCGTTTTGTCCGAAGATGATTGTGGATCAGCCGACACTGACAGCTGACGCATTTACTACCTGCACTTTCCCTGGTCGGCTGCAGCTCAGCAGCATCAGGACCGCTCTGATCCGACGAGCTCCGCCAGCTCTCGGCTGACGAGGACTGAGGTGTTTTTGTTTTTGAAACGACATGCTGATGGTATTTTGTGGGTCTGTGTGTACTCGACGTACGTGACGCAGGGTTCTGGGTAAATTTGTCTGCTGATAACAAATTCCTGGCGGGTTTCTAAGCTGTTAAACATTAATTTATGTAACCGTTTTAAGGCGTGTTTTCAGTGCTGTTCTGGAGACATTGTCTATCCCTCCCGTCAGTGACGGGGCTCATCCTGGCTTCTTCCATGAAGTCGGCTGCCTGCAGTTACAGAAACGTGTCCGTTTCCATGGTGATTGGCACCTCTTGTGTCTTAGACTTTTTGCTTCTTCAGGTTCAATCAGACTGTGGTGCAGATTTATTGTAATTATTTACAAATGTGTATTTCTAATGTACAGAAAAAAATATATAATATATATATATCGATATATGAAATGATAGATTTTTGTTGTGTATAATCATTGCAGAGTGGAGTGTATATTTTTTTAATGACATTTAAATCTAATGTGTAAACATTTTAATTTAAATTAGATGAGACTAATGGATGTTTTTATTTAATTTCTTTATTTTTTTCTTAACCTGCAAAAACAAAGACAAAAAGAGAACCTGAAACCTTTGGACCTGTAATCTTTTAGTTTTCCGTCTTTCTTGGATGTTTTTGGAGATGCCTTCACAGACCTTGAATGTATTTAGTGTTTCATTTTGTGTTGCTATTTTAAATACTGTAATACTTGCAGCTGATGATTTGTTCTCTGTATTATTGCACACAATTCTAATAGAAATAAATGTTTGAAGTGTTTCTCTGTTTGAAATTTCGCTCTGATTTGCGGCCCGAAGGGGTTTCGCCTGCGGTCGTTAGTTTCAGGTGTTTTAGCTCAGCAGAAACATTAGAGATACATGAATGAGGTCTGCTTCTCTGCCTTCATCAGCCGGGGGGTGGGGGGTATATATAAAGAACAGCTGAAGTTTTTTAAGGTCGACACAAACTCTGTCAAAGAAGAAGGGATTTGAAACTGTTCTCTATTGACAGAAGGATCAGAGCAGTTTTTAGGCCTTTTCTCACTTCCCTTCCCTGGGAAGTAAATGTCCAGAAACTTAAACTCTGCTTCTTTATCACACTTGCATTATCAGTCAGATGTTTTTCTATCAGACAGGATCGGGCTGCTCAGTGACGCAGTGGGTAGCACTGCTGCCTTGCAGCAAGAAGGTTCTGGGTTTGATTCCAGGCCCGGGGTCTTTCTGCTCGGATTTGCATGTTCTCCCTGAGCATGCATGGGTCCTATGAGGAACCAGAACATCTAAAGCTCTGCAGGCCTCGGCTCACATCAGGGTGAATGTTTTAATGAGACCAAAACCACTGCTGATCCAACAGAACCAAAAGGTTCTGCTCACATTTACCAAAATCATCTGTATGATCACCAAGATTATACAGATTCAGGAGGCTGGCATCCAGTGTTGTGGTCAAGACCACCTAACCCGAGACCGAGTCAAGACCAAGACCAGCGCCAGTATGTGACAAGAAAATATGAAGCATGATCAAAATCACTAAAATTGATCTAAAAGACCCACATTCACATAAAAACACCTAGATATTTAACACACAGAACTGGAATAAACATAAACATCTTTATTTAGTACTTCTGTGTAGTAATCACAGAATTTCAAACAATTAATCAAAGTCGATCAAAATAGTATTTTCTCTGCCTTTCATGAACAGTAAATACATTTGTGTTGTTAAATGTGC